CACTTGAGCCAGAGCACCACTTCCAGTTTTCTGGTTTATTGGAGATAAGAGTCTCACAGACTTTCCTGCCTGGGCTGGCTTTGAACCGTGATCCTCAGATTTCAGTCTCCTGAGTAGCTAGGATTACAAGTGTGAGCCACTGGCGCCTGGCTGAGTTATAATTTTTTACTTATTTGTTTCCCCATTCTCAAATCACTAACTTATATTACTGTATGATAAAGGATTTCTTCTTATGATAGTAACAATAGTATTTTTAAATGGCTTACTCAATATATTTATATAGTTAATATCAATGTTCAACTTTAAGCAAAGAAGTTTTGAGAATAGAACACTTGAGACAGAAAAAAATCAACAATGTTTTTCTCATTTATTTCCATCCCAATTCTTAGTTCTGTTTCTTTATTTATCATTTTTTCATCAATCCAGTGATATATTTATATCACTACTTTGAATCTGTATCTCACTGAGCCTGCTGACTTCGTCTTTGTTATTCATTTTCTCTTTTTAATTCTTACTCTATTGTATTCCTTTACAATATGTTGCCTGTTTTGATCTCTGTGGACTCTGCTTCTTGGTATCTTTTTACCTATGTTCCTCTTCTCTTTGTTTCTTGTCTTACTTAAAAGATGGAAGTGATAAGAACTTTTAGTCCTGTATTTTCATTCCTCAGTTTTTCATTTAGTTTCTTCCTTGCATATACAATCTACTGGGGCTGGGCTACAGCTCAGTGGTAGAGCATGTGTTTAGCATTCATGAGACTCCTAAGATCAATCTCCAGCATCCCTTCCCTAACCCAGAAAAAGAAAAAAAGTTATGGAACCTAGCCTTTGTAGATTTCACTGGCAGTAGAAAAATCTCACTTCATTTTTCTAAAGTAACTCACTGTCTCTTGCTTCCCCACTCCGGCTTAATCTGCTTCTGAATTTTCAGTGGTCTCAGATTGTAGTAGCATCATCTGTCTAGTTACTAGCCAGAAACGTAAACTGTTGTTTTTTTTCTTACTATCATGAATTAGTTGAGTTTCAGCTTATCCTCTCTTATCCTAAAACTAACTTCAAATTCTTATCAGAATTATAAAAACTGTCTTCTTGTTTTCTCTAATTTTTATTTGAAACCCTTAACTTAGTTTTCACTATTAGTTCTAATAATATATCTAATATGCAAATCAGATATAGGTGTTATCTGCTTAAAATTCTCTAATAGGTTGTTTGTAAAGTAAAATATTCAAGTCTAAAAGGCCTTCCATATTTACTGCTGCTTCCACTTTGCTTTTATATACAGAAATACTTCTGATTTTTTAATGCACAGTGCTCTTTTGTGCCTCTTATTCTTTCTCCATGCTAACTATTCTGTTTGAATTTCTGTTCCCACTTTTTTTATTTAGTGGTATTTATTTATACGGTGTCCTCAAGCAAATTTTCCTGACATTCCAGCTTGAGCTCAGTGATTCCCTTCTCCTTCATGCTTGCTTAGAACACAGTGCATATTTGTGGTAGTGCATACTGTATTATATGACCATATTCTTAACTATGTTCCTTTCCTTAATAGATTGTAAGCCCTTTTAGGGCAAGTATAATGTTTATTTTCTTTTATTTTTTTAGCCTTGACACTTAGCAC